GGTTATACCAGAGAACATCTCCAGCGGCTCCGCTGGGTCCTGAAGTAAAAGCCTGCCGATAGTAAGCAGAATTTGGCCCAGTGTCTTTCCTGGTGGACCAAATGGAGGTCAGTGTCTTCAGAACCGGGAGGCCGGCCATGAACCAGGACTGCTGGGACAGGGAATGAGCTAAGAATCAGTTTTTAGGTTTAGGTGATGTGGTTCCACCTTTCTCCTGAAGGTAAACTGGTCTTACTGGCTCTGCTGGAGGAGAAACACCTGTGTGAAGAAAACCTAAGGTGAGCCATGTGTGTCTGACATCCATGTATCAATTCAACATCCTGCTGTGATGCATTTCCTGTTACTTGTTTAGGTATAAGCATCTGGTGGAGAAGGTGGCCATAGAGCACAAGGACACCTACAGCAGGTTAGCTTTTATTGTGGAAGGCACACAGGAAGAGGAAGTGTATTGCTGACTGTATCTGTGTGTTCAGAAAGTTCTACTTTGGTTTCATGGAGGACAGCGGATACATCGACGGACTCATCATGGGGTGAGTTTTGACGCTTCTCCTGTAGGTCGTTAAGCTCATTAACAGCACCTGTTCCTGCAGAGACGCTCTCGTTCCCTCCTTGATGGTGGTCAACCTGTCCAATGATGGCTACTTCCTGCCACCAGCCCCCATAGAGACAGAGCTGCAGCTGCTGGACTTCCTGGACGGCGTGCTGGACGGCAGCGTGGAGGTATAGGGGGGGTGATGTGGCAGTTGGGATCATTTGGGGCAACTGATCCTCTGAGGAGGTGCAGCAGTCCTTGATTTCTCTCTCACCTGCTCCTCAGGCTCTGGGAGGGAATGACTTGACTCAGCGCATCCGACGCTTCCTTTACGAGACCAGAATGACACTAACGGTAAGTGACATCATCAGCTCACTTCCTGCTTCCTGTCTGAGCCTCTGCTCACGGCCCATCCCTCTAGCCGGTGTTCAGGGACGCCCCGGTGCTCGGCTGCTTCTTGATTGGCTTCCCGCTGGCGGTCGGCTGCGTCTTCTGCTACCTCTGCATCAAGAACCGACCCGGTTCTGCTGATGACGACGAAGACACTCCTCTACTGGCGCCGTCGATGCAACGCAAGAAGAAACTGTCAGAGAAAAAGTCTGATTGAGCGGATGTGGAGGAACTAGACTTTCGGTCCAGTTATGTAGATCTTCAAGAAAAGGTTCTGGTTTGACCCAGATGTACTTTTGAACAGGAACTTTCATTAGTCAGCTCAGTTGTGTCTGTTTTAATCCCAATTAAAATCATAAGTCAGTGAAATGTCTCTGAGGCTTCATTCCCACCAGGAGAGTCCTTTGCTTGGCCTGGTTGCTCCGCCACAAAAGCAGACTTTATGTTTGGTGAGATTTTTTTAATATGTGCTCTTTTGCAAGCGAACTATAATTTGTAAAGAGCCTGGCGGCTGAAGATTGTTGCTCCCAATGGATAGAAATGATGGGAAAAGAAATAGAAGTCTGGCTTGCTTCATTTGTGCCGTCACTACAACTGCAAGTGGAGCTCATTCAACACAGGTTTCATGATGGATGTTTCTAATTTTGGAACGGTGTTGACCCACAACACAGTGGCAGCAGAAACTGCCAATCACCCCAGTGTAATCGCTGCACATAGGAGCGTTAGCAGCACTTGAGGCTCATTGCTGCCATGACGCCCAGCTACGGTGGCTCATGAAGTCTAAAGGGACGTTTGTTTTCTGTAGTTGATCTGGGTGGAGGGCTGCACCCGCTACGCAAGGCAACAGGCCGCAAGGCAACAAGCTGCAAGGCAACAGGCCGCAAGGCAACAGGCCGCAACGCAACAAGCCGCAAGGCAACAGGCCGCAAGGCAACAGGCCGCAACGCAACAGGCCGCAAGGCAACAGGCCGCAAGGCAACAGGCCGCAAGGCAACAAGCCGCAACGCAACAGGCCGCAAGGCAACAGGCTGCAAGGCTCTGTTGCCTTGCAGCAAGAAGGTCCTGGGTTCAATTCCCGGCCCGGGGTCTTTCTACATGGAGTTTGCGTGTTCTCCCTGTGCGTGCTGGGTTCCCTCCAGTTTCGTCCCACAGTCCAGAAACATGATTATCAGGTCATCCCCTTTAGATAACAATAACATTTTTATCTCTATTAACTAAATAAACTAAGGTCACTTATTTCAGCTTAAGTGCATTTTCATGTAGAACCAAACAATGACCCAAATATGCATTTACTTGGTAATCAAGATATTTTCTCCCATCTGTTTACCTGTGCATCTAACTCAGATGTAACCTGTATGTGACATGAATAATAACAAAACTTAACATGCATAACTGCTATGCCTAGATAAACAGAAGGCTATTCAAGATAACGTTTCGGTGTCTTCCGTAGTCGTGTTGAACGCCTCACAACCACTGGAGGATCTGGGGAAACAGGAGGATGCACCCCAGAGTCCAGAGCACTTTGTTCAGGTGTAACATTTATGTCACTTTGCTCTTGTGTCGATGGTTCAGGTTCCTCTATATTTGGTTACGAAGCTGATCCCCATATCGTCTGTGCACAGTGTTCAAGTCAAACTGGGCCAGTTTTGTCTTACAACCTGTCCAGGTGTCCACTTGTGAAACTCCTCCCCCTGTGTTGCGAAGATACACAGCATCATCCACAGAAAAGGAACGGTCCACGGCTGTGAAGTCATGTTGAGCTTTTTGTCGATACTGCTTCCTGCGAACAGTCTCCTTGGTGTTAGGTTTAAGAAAATCCAGTCTGGTACGGATGTGTCTGTGCAAAAACATTTCTGCTGGAGACTGACCTGTTGTGCAGTTAGGTGTAACACGGTACTGTAGCAAAAACAATGAAAGTTTGTCCTCGATGCTACATGAGCGGTTGGCCAGCTTTTTCATGCCCACTTTAAACGTCTGCACATATCTTTCAGCCAAACGGTTTGTGGCAGGGTGACCCGGTGCACTTGTGTGCAAAATGCCATTCTGTGTCACAAACGTCTGAAACTCAGTAGAAGTGAAAGTGGTGGCATTATCTGTGACTATTTGTTCAGAAAGTCCAAGTAAAGCAAACCGTCTCTTCAGTTTCGTCACCGTGGCTTGTGAGGTGATGTGTGGCACATGAAACACCTCCAACCACTTTGAATATGAATCAACCACAATCATGAACATGCTGTCGAGGAAAGGTCCAGCATGTTGGACATGTAGTCTTTTCCAGGATTCACCGGGGAACTCCCAAGGATGCAGCGGAACATGCTGTGGAATCTTCTGTTTCAGCTGACATGTTTCACATGTTTTGCAGACCTGTTCCAGGTCATGATCCAGATTTGGCCACCAGACATATTTGCGAGCTAAGGCCTTGGATTTTACGATTCCTTGATGACCAGAGTGAATCTCATTTAATACACTCTTTCTCATTTTCAAGGGTATAATCACTCTGGTTCCCCACAAAACACAACCCATCTCAGTAGAAAGCTAATTTCTCTTGTGGTAATAAGCCTTCAAACTCTCATCTTGACAGTAGGCCAGCCCTCCATGACATACTGGTAAACCTTCGACAAGTCCATGTCTGTGCGTGTGGCCTGAGCGACTCGGGTCGCATTTAGTGGAGCTCTTTCAAAATGCTCAGTTAGCAGTGAGTGTACTACTGCTGAACTCGATGCTGTTCCAGTGTCACTTGTTTCTGGCAGAGGACAGCGAGAGAGCCCATCTGCATTGCTGTGTTCTGATGATTTTTTGAAAACAATGTGGTAATCATATGCTGACAATATGATAGCCCACCTTTGAATGCGTGCTGCAGCTACGGTAGGGGTTCTTGTGCTCACCAAATAACGTCAGCAGGGGCGATGGTCCATTGCTAAGGTGAAATGCCTGCCCCATAGGTACTGGTGAAACTTTTACCCCATAAATCAGTCCAAGAGCCTCTTTTTCTATTTGAGAGTACTTTTTTTCTGCTGGAGACAGTGTTCGGGAAGCGTATGCTATTGGCCGCTCCTCCCCACTCGGCATTGTGTGCTGTATAACCGCACCGATGCCATATGCAGAAGCATCACATGCTAAAGTGATTGGTAGGTTAGAGTCATAGTGCGCTAGCACCCGATCACTTGTCAGCAGATCTTTGCATCTATCAAATGCTGCCTGCTCTGGTGCAGTCCATCTCCAAGACACACTGTCCTTCAGTAACTTGTAAAGTGGAGCTAGGGCCGTGCTCTGCATTGGCACAAATCTCCCATAATAGTTAACAAGTCCCAGGAACGCTTGCAGTTCTTTCACATTAGTAGGAGCAGGAGCATCCTGTATTGCCCTCACCTTATCTTCTGAAGGGTGGACTCCATGTTCATCCAGGACGTGTCCCAGATATTCAATTTGTGGCTTGTTAAACTCACACTTGCAACGTTTTACTCGCAGGCCATTTTCCTGAAGGCGTTGCAGGACCTTCTCCAGGTTGCTCAGATGTTCTACTTGTGAGCGTCCAGTGATGAGCAAGTCATCCAGGTAGACCACCACTGGTAACCCTTTCATTATGTTTTCCATAATGCGCTGAAAAATTGATGGAGCTGTACTGATTCCAAAAGGAAGCCTGTTGTAAACAAACAGTCCTTTATGAGTATTGATAGTTGTGTACTTCTTGGAGTCCTCATTCAACAGTACTTGTTGATAGGCTGCTGCCAGATCTATCTTAGAGAAGTACTTTCCCCCCCTGAGAGTTGCCAGTATTTCCTCCAAACGTGGCAGAGGGTACGTATCGGCTTCAAGGGCTTGGTTCACTGACACTTTGTAATCCCCACATAAGCGAATAGAAGTGTCCTTCTTTAACACCGGCACTATCGGTGCTGCCCACTCACTGTGTCTCACAGGTGTAATAATGTTACTCTCCTCCAGTCTTTCGAGTTCTTTTTCCACCTTTTCCTTCATTGCGAATGGAAGAGGTCTGTTTTTACAAAATATCTCTGTCTGCAGTCTCCATATTGAGAGCAATCTCAAAAGCTTTGGTGAAGGTCAGCCGATCCTCTGAAAGTAACCTCCTCTGGCACGCTTCGTTTTTTATTCCACTTACGAACCGATCCCTCAGTGCAGGATCCAGTGACGCACCAAAATCACAGTTAGCTGCTTGTTGTTTCAGCTCTGCGACATACTGGGCAACAGTCTGACTCGGCTTTTGGTTGCATCTATTAAAACGGAAACGTTCAGCAACTAATATGGGCTTTGGTTCATAGTGTTCTTTCAAAATGCCCACAATCTCGCCAAATGTCTTGTCTTTTGGTTTTTCAGGCTGTACTAAGTTTCGTAAAAGTCCGTATGCTTTAGCACCCATTACACTTAGCAACACCGCCACGTGCTTTTCTGTCAACGTCGTTAGCTTCCAGGTATTGCTCCAGACGCTCGATATAAGCTGTCCACGGCTCCACCTCGGGTCTGAAGTCATCTATTTTGTCAACCTGAGCCATTATTCTCACTAGAATTGACACTTGACGTCTTCTCTCCTCCGAAAAGTATCCTCGTCGCCAGTTGTAGTGTCTTAATAACCAGAGGCTCGAGCTACGTCCATTGCTCTTTATTGTTGTGCTACGTTCAGGGTAACCATAGAGACAGAACTTTACGTCGATGAATACAATGGACTGTACCAACTCTAGTAAACCATGGGGGTAAATACACCACACTTCATTTTAAAGATATTAATAAAAAGGTTTCCAGATGAGATCAGTCAAAAGCAGCACAAACGAATCGTTTTGCTGCACAATCCAGACAAATGTGTGACATCATGTGTGACATTTTGTTAGATTTGAGAAAGAGTGACGCCTATGTAGACAATTTCATTTTTCAAAATACGTGTTTTAATCTTCAGTCTTTCCATCGGAGCTCAGCGTATCACGTGACCAGAAGCTCGGGGTTCCGAAGTTAGAACTTGAGGTTCTCGGTTTCTCCACGTTATTCTACTGAGCGGCTTTTATTCTGAAGGGCAGTTAGGCCCTGAGGGAGCTTCCGGGGAAGGAAATGCTAACAGCTAACGGCTAACAGACAGAAAACTTAACTTCCCGTTACTTGCCCGACAGAACCAGAAGCCGGAACCGTTCCGAACCAACAACCGAACCTTCTTCTCATGCCGCTTCAGCTCTGAAGAGGCTTCTGGCAACCGCTCGTGCGCGCGCACGGTTTCCATGGCCACGGAGGAGTTGTACGAGGTAAAGCTAACATGCTAACAGTTAACTTAGTGAAGTTTGTAGCGACTAGGTAACACAGTTGGAGTGTAAAGTTCTGAAGAACCGGGTCAGCCGAGCCTGTACGTCTCTTTTTAACACATGGACGAGATTCTGCCTTACATGCTTCACACTGAGGGAGAACATTAACATTTCGGGGATGTTATTGTTGTTTTTCTAGCTGCTGTTTGGTTTCCAGTTATTCTGCTTCATCTCTTCCGACTAAAAGCTCAGGACTTAAAGGACAAACCAGTCTGTAGCTTGGGTTCTGTCCAGAAGAACTGGTTGTACTGGTGACCTGATTCTGACTTTAGTTCGTTTATATCTTCCGCTCTTATTTATCTAAATCTGCGGTTCTTCCTTTGCTGAATAATCGGTTCTGCAATTAATTAGCTCCTTTGTTTCTGTGGTTGCCAAAATGAGCGATAAAATTAGCGGTAAATGAATTACTTTAATTCATTCAGATTCTCTTTATTGTCACTGAACAAAATGCTAGAGATGACAAACGTTCGCAAATAAATGGCTCAGCATGTTTTTTTTTTTTTTCAAAACTTTATTTATGCTTTATCGTGAGGTACAAATCAAAGGCAGTACAATAGTTACACAGTTAACAATGTACCTTTAAGCTACCAACCTAATAGGGCTAGAACAAACCCAAACATACCCAAATATATACAGACATGAAATACATTAAGTGGATCAGGTCAGAGTAAATGGAAACAGATACATTAATAATAAAAAAAATAAATAAAAAACAATCAAACAAACAAAAAAAAAAAAAAAAAAAAAAAAAAAAAACACTGGTGCCAGGGGATACTACAGTCAGTATATCAGTCAAACTAGAGAAGGAAAACAGAAGAAAAAGAGACATAGGTAAAAATGATAAACATCAGCTACATACGTACCACCTCATCATTCAGGGACATTAGGGAAATTAATCTTTGTAAGGGTTCTTAACAGGGGGCTCCACAAATCCAAAAATCTCGTAGAAGAGCCTCTTAAAGTAAACCGAATTTTCTCAAGTTTAATAAAATACAACGTATCTCGAAGCCAGTGGACATATGATGGAGGTTGAGGCGACTTCCATTTCATTATAATCACTCTTCTTGCCAAAAAGGTCAGAAATGCTAAAGAAGATTTCTGAAAGGAGGACAGGCTGGACTGTGGAGGTGCAACTCCAAACAAAGCAGTCAATGGGTCAAGCTGCAATTTCTTTTCAAAAATGTCTGACAGGATAGCAAAAACTTTGGACCAATAGTTAGAAAGTTGAGGACACAACCAAATAGAGTGGATCAGATTGGCTGGAGAATGCTGGCATCTATCACAGGCAGCAGAAACATTGGTGTAAAACTTGGCTAGCCGTGCTTTAGTATAATAGGTGCGATATACAAGTTTGCATTGAATGAGATTATGTCTGGCACAAATAGATGATTTATGCACTAACGACAAAATTTGTGTCTAGAGATCCTCTGAAATGGCCTGTCCGAGGTCTTCCTCCCAATGTGATTTAAAGGAGTTCAGATTGAGGGCGTAGAAGCGTAATTTGATTATAGATAAAAGATATGGCCCCTTTCAATTTGGCAGTAGGTTTTAGAAAACTATCTAACGGTGAATCCCCGGGAAGGTTGGGAAAATTTGAATAGGTAGAGCGGACAAAGCTGCGTACTTGCAAGTATTTAAAAAATTGGTGGCGTGGGATATCAAACTTCTCAGAGATTTGTTGAAATGAGGCAAAAGTATTATCAATATACATATCCTGAAAAGTTGTAATTCCTATTCTCTCCATGAAAGGAAGATACAAATCTGTGAGAGATGGTGGAAAGGCATGATTTGAGGCTATAGGGGCATGGACAGAAAGAGACTGTAGGCCAAAATGTCGTCTAATTGCATCCACAGCCTTAAGGAAGCTTCAACTATTACATTAGAAGTATAAGGTTTAGTTGAGGACTGTAATGGTGAATATAGTAAGGCAGCCAAGGACACAGGTTTCACAGAGTTGGCCTCCATACCAAGCCAAGCTGGAGAGGAACAGCTGTCTGTCTGGAGCCAATATCTAAAAAGTCTAATATTTGAAGCCCAATAATAATATCTAAAATTTGGCAGGGCCAACAGAGCCTTTTAGGTCTTTGTAAGAATTGAGTACTTATGCGAGGGGCCTTCCCATTCCAGAGAAATTTGGTAATCATACTATCAAATTTGCTGAAAAAGGACCGTAAAAGAAAAATAGGTATGCACTGAAAGAGGTAAGAAAACCGTGGAAGAATGTTCATTTTGATCAAGTTAACCCGAGCGACCAATGAGAGGCCTAGCAACGACCAACGATCAAAATCTTC